TGATTACTCTGGCTTTCCTATTTGTGTGTGGAAAAAAAAATCCCCTCTGCTTTGTTAATTGACTTATATTTGAACTGAAAAAAAAAAAGGTTATAATTAGGATTTTAATTCATACTGAAAATTTTAGGAAATGTGAAGCCCAAAATAAAACTTTTTAAATTATTCAAATTTTAGTTAAGATGATCAGATTTTTCCTCATTATTATTTTATGAAATTTCCTGGATTTTACGTTCCTACTGGGTTCAGGGTAGGAGGAACATCTGTCTTGTTTTGGTTTTTAATTTTGTAGAATGGAAGAAATATATTCTTTGACCTATATTAATTGGCTTTGAAACAGCAAATTGCTCGATGGAATTAGAAACTAATAATTTCCAGTATAAAAATATAGATAGACATTTTCCATAGGGCATGTAAGGAACCACAGGACTCCAGGTGCTAACAGAAGCAAAGGCTGTACTTGATCAGGAAAAGATTAGGAGAACAATAGTCTATCTCTTCAGCTACACTTGGACCTTGGAGCAGGGAAGCCCTATTGATGATTGTGCTCCAGGACATCAAGTAATTAGTGGTCTGAGGCCAGGAAGGCCTTGGCTATTGTGTGGTCTAGCTGATTGCAGTGTGCTCTCTATTCTTCTGAGACACTGGCCATTGTTAGAGGCAGAATCATGGAACCCTAATGGTAAATCCTGTATTTTCCATGACAGCTTCTAATAATACACTTTGAGTAGAATTCCAGGGTGATGAGGTTGATTTCCAATTACATATAAGTAAACAGCCTCCTGCCCTCCCGATCCGAGTGGGTAAGACACAAACCTTCCCTCTCCCACCAGTCAGGTGGTGGCAACAGGAGCTTTTGCATTATCTAAATCCTGCAGTGAGGAGGACTGCTTTTCCCTGACAGATGCATGGCCTTCACTCCTGCCTTGCTGTGTTGAGCAGGTGCCCGTGGTGGCCATCACGACAACCGGGGGAGGGACGAGGTCGCTGACAGCCATGTACGGCAGCCTGCTGGGTCTCCAGAAACTCAACCTCTTAGACTGCATCTCCTACGTCGGTGGTTTATCGGGTACCACATGGTGAGGATGGCCCAAAAAAGGTTTATGTTTTCACTCTGCTCATCTCTGTTGACTCTTTGTACGGCACCATCAGCTTCTATGGCACTCAGTAGAGCAAAAGCATTTTTCGTTTTCCCCACAACCTCCTCTGTGTCCATCTAGAGCACAGAAACAAAACATCCTGAACACAAGATCAGTAACCGCATTCTTCAGCTGTTTTTGACACTACATGGACACAGTTGATGCTTGATATTTTCATGTAAATGCTCTGTTACCTTTTCATATTTTATCAGTTATACCTTAGACTGAATGCAGCGAATTTGTCTTTAGACTGGAAATTGAAGAATGATGGGAAGAAGAATTTATGCCTGCCATTTGCTGGTTAATCTCACTTCCATTTTGGATTTAGAGTGCTTCTCCCTCTGGTAAAAGATGTATTTGGGGCTAGTGGAATTAGTACTGTCACAGACGGTCCAACAAATGACACCGTTACTGACCTTGGAGAGACTGCAGCTATGGTTGCTCCTTGTAAAGTGCTCTTTTCTCCAAGTGGGCATACAGCAGATATCATACTTAAAATAACTTAATTATTAAACCAAGGGGGTTCTAGGTAGCTCCACTCCTCTACACCTGGTTGGAAATGGAGAGACTTTTTTACACTGAACTGTGTGTCAGTCCTTTATATAAGTCCAAACCTTAATGGCAGATTTATCTAACTGTTGGCTAAAATTCTTTTAACTTCTTTGTATGTCTGTGGAGATCTGAGAGTACCTGTTTGTATGATGATTTCAAAAAGACAAGAATTTCAAGAATGGCCATACCTGGACATGGCCAAGACCCAAGTACTGCCCAGTTCTTGTGAACAAAAGCAGGACTAGAGCAAGATGGTAGTGATTGCTCCCTAGAACTCCTTCCCACATTCTAAGAAATGGATTTTCTGATGACTTGTGGAATCTTTATATTTTTAATAGCCTGGAGTGTTGCTTTTATTTTATCCCTTGAATTTCTCAGGTAATTTTTAGAGCCCACATAAGCTTCTATTATTAAAACCAGGAAAGCTTGGAGGTTTTATTTACTCTTGAAATGAGAGTATTCCCAGTTCTCTTGCTGGCAGGAGCTTTTAGCAGATACTTGTGAACAAATGCAGGACTAGAACAAGACGGTAGTGATTGCTCCCTAGAACTCCTTCCCACATTCTAAGAAATGGATTTTCTGATGACTTGTGGAATCTTTATATTTTTAATAGCCTGGAGTGTTGCTTTTATTTTATCCCTTGAATTTCTCAGGTAATTTTTAGAGCCCACATAAGCTTCTATTATTAAAACCAAGAAAGCATGGAGGTTTTATTTACTCTTGAAATGAGAGTATTTTAGGTCTGATAATTTTTAGTTGTGAACCCCATAAGAATTAGGAAACAGACAAACAGATTGCACAAAAGTTCTCTGAAGCCAAACCACAGCATTACTCTCATTATTTTCTTCTAATGGTTCTTCAGGACGATGGCAAACTTATATGAAGATGCTAATTGGTCACAAAAGTACCTGGAGGATGCAATCAAGGAAGCTCGCAAGCAAGTAACCAAATCCAAGATCTGCTGTTTTTCTCTGGAGTGTCTGAAGTACTATTATAATGACCTGATGGAGAGGACTAAAGAAGGACATAACACTTCTTTCATAGACCTTTGGGGGCTTGTCATTGAATCCATGCTACACGATAAGGTATTACTCCTCTTTTTCCAGAAACCTGATGAGCTTCTATAGCTACAAAGGACAATAAAAAAAATCCTGGGATGCCAGGAGCAGTACTACTATTGCAAATATTTACTTTTGTGGTTGATTAAATTCTGTGTATTCAGGTCCATTATTAAAACCTTGCTCTTCCTAAAGTGAGGTTGATCTTGAATTGAAGGAACCATGGCACTGCTGTGAAAGGTGTTCTTTCTTCTTAAAGAAAGACAAAATCCTGAGAAAAAAAAAATAAAATTTTGAAATGTAAACTAATCACTTTGGACATTAAATAATCTGACTAGAAGAGGCACTTTACGAATTTGAAATAGTTTACTTCACTGCTTAAATTAAGATCTCCATTTTTAAAGTGACTTAGTTATAGAGTACACATGGAGATGACTCAAATAGTTGGAAAGACCATTCTCTAAATATGTCATCAAGTTTTAAGAAAGTGTGATAGAAATTTTGTTACTTCAAAAGTAGTGTGGCTTAAGTAGTCTCCTTCTGGTTTATGTTTATACAAAGAGTTTTAAAATTCATGTGTGTGACAGAATATATTCTTGCATATGGACATACCTGCAAAATATCTTAAAATATGATCAGCTCTGTTTGGTGGGATCCAGCCAAGGAAAGCACCTCCCCTTTCACTTAGACACATATTTCTTCCTGAAAGTTGTGGGTTTGTGGTTGTTTTTTTTGCTGGTAATTCATATTAGTTTGTTTGGAGTGCAAGCTGGTTTTCACCTCATTCCATTAACCATTTTTAATCAAATCTAGAAAGATGAGCATAGACTCTCAGACCAACGGCAGGCGGTGGATAATGGTCAGAACCCGTTGCCCATCTATGTGGCCATCAACCTCAAGTCCAGCTACAGTGCTCAAGCATTCAGAGGTAAGGGTTGTGATTTAGATTTCTTAGTAATTTCATAATTTAAGTAATCCATACTAAGACTAAATGCATATAATCAGCTTTAATAATACAACAGTCCTTTTGTTCTATTCACAAAAAACCCCAACAACCTACCCTTTTAAAATTTCAGATGATAGTGACTAACGATTAAAAATAAAAACTCCAGATATGTTCAGTCTTTAGAATTTTTAGTTCAGTTCACAAAAAAAAACAACCACCATCCCTTTTAAAATTTCAGGTGATAGTGACTAACAATTAAAAACTCCAGACATGTTCAGTCTTTAGAATTTTTAGTTCATGTTGCTGGAAGTAAAAATATAGTTATACTACAGAAGATACCCAACTCACAATTTATATTTGCCACAAAAAACCTTTAGTGGAATGAATTCTTATGATGGTTCCATGGGGTCTTATTTTTAAGAATTAAAAGGAAAACACTGGAGTTTTGGGTGCACTGGCAGGAAAATTACTATTTCATCTAGTATTAATTTTCATAGTATTTTTCTGAGCTGAGCAGCTCAGTAAGTGACACCAGGTGAATGCTGTGGTCTCTCTGCCCTCGTGCCTTAAAGTGAACAAGTTATACATGAGCAATACACACTTTTGGGTAAGATTAACCACAGAGAATGCTCGTGGTTTCATTTAGACCAGGGATTTTCTGCTGGAGTTTGCTGTATCACAGCCTGGGACTGCCCTCCTTGGTGTGAAAGGACTTCATGGCATTTAGTACTACAGGCAATACAGATGCATCTCTGACTGGTGAACAGCATGTTATGAGCCAGCCAATGTCTTTCTCATGATTTGCTCCTGCTCTCTAGCACTCTTCTGTTTAGCAACACTTAATATGTTATTGCCTTTTCATGATCTGGCTGCTATTGCCCTAGAGTGGCTGGAATTCACTCCTTATGAGGTCAGCCTACTGAAATATGGAGCCTCCATTCGCGCCGAACATTTTGGAAGTGAATTCTTTATGGGAAGGATGGTGAAGAAGCTCTCAGAGACTCGGATCTGCTATATGCAAGGTGACTGTTGCCTAGAGGGAAAGGTGGCTTACTGGGGAGGCAGCTGGTGTAAGTGTGCAAGCATGTGGTCTCTGGTGAACAGCGCTGGGGAGATAGCAGTAAACAGGTTGAGCAGGTGTGTGTTTGCATTAGGAGATTTAGGAAGTATGCCCACGAAGATATGCATCCAGACAAATGAAGTATCTAAGAGGAAGGACTGTAGGTATGTATCAATTAAAATTCTTGCAAGACTACTCCATCGATCAGTTTGTATTCTCTCTTTCCCATTACAGGCATGTGGAGCAGTATATTTTCCATTGATGCGATGTATGTCTGGAATTTGGCTACGGATTCAGAGGACTTCTGGTATAGATGGACCAGAGACAGAGTGAAAGATATTGGTGAGATGGTTTTGTGGCTTTTTTTTTTTTTAAGATCAGCATAATTTGCTTATATTCTGTGCAGAGTTCTAATGGCTAAAGAGATGCTATCGGAGTGAGCTGAGGAAAGCAAGGCAAAGATGTTAGCTAAGCAATTTTTCTGCCTGATTTAAAGGAACTAAACTGTGCTTCTTTGGCAAAGCTGTGATTTTTTTTTTCTAAAGGACATACAGGCACAAAACCAGTCTCCAGCAGACGTGTTTTTAATACAATATGATTTCTATACATCTTAAGATAGTTAAGTTAGGGTATGCTCCTCCTTAGCCACTAATACTGTCAGTAGAGAGAATGGCTCTTGCAGAGGGCTGTTTTCTCCACTAAACTGCCCATGGAGAAAGCTCACTTTTGCTGCTAGTTGCACAGGGAACCTGGAGTGACAGGACTCCTAACTTAGCTAATGTTTGCAGCTGGGTGATGTTCTGAAGGTGTGCCGTTCAAAGGCCAGTGTTCTCCTGTATGTTTTGGGACTCGGCTCTCCCCTCCACCACACGCTGCAGTAGAGGTGGGCATCATTCGAGGAAGCCTAGAGTGGAAGGTGGTGCTCACTGCCTGGCAGCTTGCTGCCTGCAGGTAGCTCTCATTTAATTCACTGTCTAATGCTGAGTTTTATTTGCTAGCATAGACCTTAAGGGCTTTATAACTATGTTTGGTTTACATTTGGGGTGGGGGATGGTGATGACTGTGGTTATTAGTTACTTCAAATTTTAAAGTATTAGTAATTTCAGAAAAGTGTCCTAAATTCAGGATTTTTTTCCTTCTTACAGCAGAAGAACCCTTTCTGGCCTTGAATCCCTATGAGGTAGACACATGTCTGTTAACCCCCACGAGTGCCCTTTCTTCTGCTCTGCGAGATGTCTTAACAGGACGCCCAACAATTGCACAGTATCCAAATTTTATCAGAGGCTTCCAGATGCATAGCAAGTACCTGGAGAGTGAAGGATTTTCTACCTGGAAAGGCACAGCATGTTTTTCTGTAACATTTGGAGGAGGTTTAGGTTTGGGCATTCGTTTAGGATTTCTAAGAATGAAGAGGCAAGACTGACTTCTCCTGAAATTCCGTTTTTCCCTTTCACAAATGAACAACATGGAAGCCAGATTTGGACAGTATTTTTTGGGAGGGTGTGGTGGGATGGGGGAGTTGAGGGGTAAAATTGAATTTGATTTTTGGAGGATTGTGTTCCAGTGGACAAAGTGAGATCAGACTGAGAAGGCAGGAGGGATATCCCCTTTAGTGCCAAAGCTGCTTGAGGTGTCTGAGAAGGAAGGAAAAAGCTTTTGTGTGTCAAACCTGTAAATCAGTGCTGCTAGTGAGTGAAAGGAAGGCAGGGAATTTGGGGGGCAAAATTCTCCATACTTCCCACTTCAACTTTCTGCAGAGGAGCAATCTTGGTTTTGATTTGTTGTAATGAGAAATGTTTGTGTTTCAGACACAGTGATAGATTCCTTCCCAAATAAACTGATGGAAACAGCAAACGATGAGCTCTCCCTGGTTGATACTGGTTTCTTCATCAACACCAGCTATCCACCACTTTTGAGATCGAAGAGGGAGGTGGACGTCATCCTGCATTTAAATTACAGTGGAGGGTCACAGACACTAGTAAGAAAAGCTGTGGTGTCAGAGATCTTTTTCTTTCAGAGTCTTTTGGTCTTTAGCATAAATCAGTTAAACCAACTAACTTCCTGGTACTAGAATGTGAATGACATTATTATTATTTGATTTATTATTGAGATTTCTCAGTAATTGAGAAGGATAATGGAAGACAATGATGGATATAGGCATTTTGGAATCATCAAGGTCTTCACTGCAGTTTTTGAAGAGCTAACTGAGGAGTCTTCTGGTGCTCTGTTATTGATTTTGGTTATCCTTGAACTGAACAAGTTACAGAGGCAATGGAAAGTCCTGAGACTATTTTAACAGATGAAATGGAAAAACCTACGTGTCTCTGGGCCTGTTTATCTCTTATTAGTCTTAGGGAAATATACTGCCTAATGCTGGACTCGGTTAATAATGAAAAATAATATAATTGGTTTTGCATATATAATAAGAATAGTATAAAAATAAACATAGGTTTGTCGTAAAAATAGCTGTTAAATGTTGGGAATGTTGGGGGCTTTTTTTTTTTTTTAATGAGGTCATAAGGTATGTTGATAAATGTATTTGCTAATAGGCAGTCATTATCAAACAATCACAAGCTATGCAGGGAACAGGAAGATTGGAAAAGTGGTAAATAATTAAGCCAAGACAATGACGCGGAATAACCTGGACTGACGTGTGCCTTCACCATTCTTGCAGTTTCTTTGCCTTCCCCTTCTGAGCCTGTTTTATTAGAATTATAAAATCAGTCCTGTGGCTTTTGGCTTCATGTGCAAGTTCACAGAAAGTGACTGCTTTCTTGTTTTGCCTAAAGCAATGTAGAAAATAAGATGAGCTGCAATGTCTGGTGTGGTTATGTCAAATTTCACATAGAAACAGACATCTTCCTTGAGGAAGATTCAAGCTTTAGATAGAATATTCATGTTAGCTGCAATAGTTAAAAAAATTCAGGTCTCAGGAACTTATTTGCATTTTGATTTTTTGTATTAATTTTATTTATTTTATTCACTCATGCAGCCTCTGGATCAAATTGCAAAATACATTTCGGGACAAGGAATTCCATTTCCCAAAATCGAAATCAGTGAGGAGGACAGGGAAAACTTGAAGGAGTGCTACGTGTTTGAAGATGCTGACAGTCCACAAGCTCCAACAGTGCTTTTTTTCCCTCTAGTAAATGACACCTTCAAGAAATATAAAGCTCCTGGTGAGTCATCTGTGGCTAGTGATTTTAATAAAGTTGGCTTGCCTAGTGTGTCCTCTCCGTTTCATATCTAATGTCACACTGTCACCTCCGACCTTCTTTCTAATGCTGGCATTGTCAGTCTCATCACTGACAAAAATAACTCATCTGTGTCAGTATGTCTGAACTGTGAGAACTCCAGAGGCTTTCCTAGTACATTGGAGATGAAAATAGGCACTTACTTCACAGGACTCATCAGTCCTATATCAGTATGGAGGTAAAATTCCCAAATACGTACAGCATGAACAGTAGGTCCTCAGCACAAGCTGTTTTACTCTACAGCCATGGACTTGTTATTCATCACTGCATACAAGCAAAGATGGAAAGGTAAAACTCCCAAATACATACAGCATGAACAGTAGGTCCTCAACACAAGCTGGTTTGCTCTACAGCCATGGACTTGTTGTTCATCACTGCATACAAGCAAAGATGGAGGCAAAACCTTCTGGAGACTTTGGTGGTAGCCCATTCATCTGGATTTTGTTCTCAAATAATCCCCTTGATTGAGGACCGAGTGGACAGAGACATTTGTTTTTTAATATGAACTACGTCCTCTGTCTGAGTGCCATAATTTCTCCTGAACTTTCAGTGAGAGGGTGGTTATTTCTTTCAGTACAAGAATATCTTGTTTTCCTTTGCTTGCACTTTTCTAGTTTGGGTAACAAAGGCTTTGTGTTGTCCAAGGAGCGATCTGCAAGCACTGCTGCTGATAATCAGTGTTGGTGCATCTCCTTGTGGTTTGCCCTTCAGGTGTGGAAAGGAGTCCTGAAGAGATGGATGAAGGCAACGTTGACGTCTCCAGCATCCTCTCCCCATTTACAACAAGGGAGGTGTGTTTCAGTGAAAAGAATTTTGACAAACTGGTGAAACTGACGGATTACAATGTCCTGAATAATGAGAAGTTGATTATTCGGGCCTTGCGCTTGGCAGTGGCACGGAGGAAGGAGAGGAAGTATTAGCCACCACCCACTAGCTTCAACCTCCCACGTGGTATATCTTGAGCTGTCTATCTGGTGAGATCAAGATATTTAATGCTTGCCAGTGATACAGAAGAAATCGTATCATCCTGAGGACGTGCTGGACTCCAATTCATCCTATTTACATGACTCTTCAGCTGAACAGATTACAGCTTACCAGTTGTTTAATCCAAAACAAACTTCAAAGAAGCAAATTTGTTTAATTTTGTTACCTTGTTACTTGATCAATTGATATATATATTAATATAATGTTGTGTAAGATAATAATGAGATGTTGCACATTAAAATGTAAATCAAACCAGCATTTATGTGGGTTTTTTTCCCCCCCCTTGTCTGGCAGAACAGCAGAACTGGAATTTCTCTGGTAAATAGTTGGTCCATTGTGTTGGTCTTGATTATCTTAACTATTGAAGGTAGTCATCTCTGCTTTGACCGTCTGCCCACTCTGAGGTTTAAAATTTAACTGTTTTTTTTCACTGATCTTGGAAAATAAGTCGAGGTACTATTGGTATTGTAAAAATCTATACAGTTTTCACCATCAATAAAAAAATACCCCTGAATTGGATCATCTTTTTTTTCATGTGGTCAAATGAGTCTGCTGTTCACAGAACCACCTCTGTTTAGCCTAAGTAGTAGTTATGTTGCCCAACATTGCTTTCATTTTCTCTTGGAGTTGCTGCTGATTGTCCTGTCTCAGTCAAGACAAGAAGAGATGAATGTTCTGCCTGACATTACAAGATGGTCGTGCAATTCCTGTCAGTGTCTTGTAGGATAAGTGGCTACTAGCTGTTTGCATAGTATAGGGTAATGCAAGAAGAACTTTTGAGATTCCTTCCAGACATTTTTTTGCAACTGTCCAACACCTTCCTGCAAATGGTCTTTTGCAGGGACTGTCCTAGGAGAGTGGTTCCTCCTCATCAAAAACCCTAAAGGTGCTCTGGGGGAAGGTAGCTGCCAAAGGCTCTCTTCTCGCAGCTCTGCAATGGGCAGATCACAAGCTCAGTCTTTCACAACAGCAGCCCTGTGCTGGGGAGCTGTGATACATGAAGACACTGGCCACAGCAGCTCAGGAAAGCCTTGGGATTATCTTCCTTTTGATAATAAAAGGCTCCTGCTGTTGCAATGAACCTCAGACTGAGTCACTGGGGCAGAAGGGGTGGTGCAATCTGGAGAGTCTTGATTATACTCAGGAGTTTAAATTTGTTTGTATGAAACAAAGTTCTAGGAAATAAATCATCCCCTGTGAAAAAAAAAAAAAAAAAAAACAGTTGGTGGTGCTCCTTAGATCAATCTGAGTGATGGAAGAGGAGGAGTGGGCCATGTTTTTCCACTATGAACATGTTCATCATGTTCCTGCACCTGAAGTGCTTGAAAGGACATGATGTAACCCTGTTTTCAGGTATTTTTCATGTTTAAATCTAGATTATTAGCCCTGAAAGTGTGAGGCTGTAATAGTGGTTCAGCTCCAGAACACTAG